CGCAAATATTGGTCTGTGTGGGTGGGCTTACGATATACGCCAGTTTCCAACCGTCCTCCATCCGAAACCAATGGAAAGCATAACATATCTGAATACTGTGGAATAAACAAATAAAAATTACACGTCATTTTATATCTTTGATGCTCAACATTGTGTGATTATCACAAATAGTTAATACTTAATATGCAGATGAAGTTCTAATTTGTTGCATAATAAAAACATTTATTTTACATGTGTTTTGCCAATTTATTTTTAGGCTTCAGCTTTTTATTAATTAATTTTTATCACCATGATTGTTTTGTTTCAGTTGGAGTAAAATATCTGACTCACAAAACGTCGTCAGTGTTGACTCTTTCAACATGCAAACACCACCCGTCTGGTTGAAAAGTAAGGGTTTTATTCTCACTAATGATTATTTTATTGTCAGGTACTTGTCAGTTGGAACCTGACTAAAGGGGGTTAGTCTGTGTGTCTGGGTGACTCACGGAGCTGTCGTCAGAGTAGGCACTGAACAAAGCTAAGCTGCTCATACCTGTGCAGTGAGCTCAGGGATCCCTCCCAGGTCGCCCTTACATGTAAAACCATACACACAGGTACACGCTACCAGCTATAGAAATCTGTGAGCTTGATGATAAGTTTGCTTTATGTCTCACATTCAAGGAAGAAGAGCATGTGACTTTGAAAATCTTTTTTTGCAGCCTTGATTGACTTTGATGTGCTCAGTCAGAATCGGTGGAAACAGATGGCCGAGGAGAGGACCAACGCTGAGGCCTGCCAATCCAGAGTCCTCTAAAAAAACAACGCGAAGACCTGGCTCTGGGAGGAAAGGAAACCCCTGAGCTTCTCAAGAAGCTGCCGCATTCTTGAGATTAGGGCTAGAAAAACGTAGACCACTGCGGTTAATGCCCCAGACAAAAGAATGGAACAATTTATAAGTTAARAATTCAAGCTCGGAGCTCAATCAAAGGTTTGTCGTCCGCATTGCCAGACCTGAGGCTTTGGTTTTGTTGTTTTAGGTAAATAATCACGCTTAAAAGATTCAGCGAAGATGGGATTCAAATCTTCCCCCACCACCCCCCGTTAACCTTACATTCTTCCAACTGTCATCAGAATGGATTTTAGTGAGCGCCTTTATTTTAAGCAGGAAAACTGTTTGTTTTTTTTTTCTTTTTGAATACCATTTTAAAGAGCTTTTTATTTAACTTTCTTTCTGCCTGGACCTCTTCACCTTGTCTGAGGTATTTCAGAAAAGACTACTGATGACACTTAAAGTGCAAGGAACCAAGGATTTGAGCAAAGAACCAATAAATAAATAAATAAATAAATAACGCAGGGAATAACTTGTCAAATTTGTAGTAAGAACAGCTGTAATAAAAAGAGTTTACGAAAATATCCGTCACTGTGACTCATTTTGAGCACCCAAAAATGTGAAATACCATAATAACAAAAATGCATCAAGATATCAGAACCACCTTTTTACAATATCAAGTCAGTTCAGTCTCACACATGTGGTATGTTACACTGTTGTCAAACAAATGATTGCTGTGAGACATAGACAAGAGAGGGCAGCCCATAATGGTTAATTAGCAATTAGGTCAGCCAGTGAGATGACCAGGAGACCAATCACTTTGACAGAAGACAGTGGAGAGGAACAGAAATCAAATTATTTTATGACTTGACCCATAATGCTTTCCTAACATGACTTTAATCCCCCCATGGTGCATTGGAGTCCCCCATGGCCATCTGGGAGCCCACCAGTCAGAAGTGGAGGACGGCCAGACTTTGCCGTTTGCTGTCATGTCCTGCGTCATTGCTGAGTAAGTAAGCTATAAAAGAACACAGCCATCATTACAGCCGTTTGCTTGCTTTTCAGAGAGATGGAGCTCCTAATGATTGGACAAGTCCTTTGTAAATGAAATACAAATCACCCCAGGCTTTTGGTTTTACTTCATTTACTAAGTGCTACATTACCTCATACCTTGGACCTAACAATGGATTTCCCATAAATCTCCAGGTAGTTGAAATGATAAAGGGGCTCACATATCACTGGATATGCCAGTGCTTATTAGCACTTGAGAAGTTATTGATCGAAGATTTTGATTAATGTCTGCTGGTGGCATTCAGAGGCCCATTGAGGCCCCCCTGCTCAACCGTCTGCTCAATTACCTGCAGTTGTGCTGACTGCCAGCCTGAGCGCTGGCAAGATGACAGCCACTGCAGTGCCCCAGTGCCCGGAATAATCAGATGCACTTCCTGTTTCCCGATTCCTCTTTATTATTCAGCCATTAATACATATAAAAATCAAAGACAAGCAGTATATATTGAACACTGCATGGTTCTGAATCAGTGTGAAAGAAAYTTGTTGGCTAGATAATTTGGAAGATAAAACAGCAGATGTTTGATGTATGATGAGCTATAGTGTAGGTATTGCAAGCTAATTTTTGTAAAAGTTGTTTGTCACCAGATTAGATCAGTTCATTGATAAACAAAATATTTTAAGTAAAAATCAATATGGTTTTAGMGCTAATAACTCAACATCAACGGCTCTCATGGACTTAATTGAACAAATAACAAGAGCTGTTGATCAAAAACAATACTGTCAGTGTTTTTGTTTATTTAAAAAAAGGCATTTGATACCATTGATTTATTTCTTCTTGGAAAATTTTAAAAAAATGGCATAAGAGGTCCAGTACTGCAGTGGGTATCAAGTTATTTAAAGAGTAACTTACCCCAAAATTAACTTTTTTTAGCTGATAAACTGTCTAGAATGTGTCTAAAATGTTATATAGTACTGTTTCTGTG